CTGCACTCTGCCCCATCCCCTCCAAAAGGGCAGTTTCACCAGAAAGCTGACAGTTTAAGGGTCAGGTCACCATGCTCAACACAAGCCCACCCGTGAACCCTGCTCCTCTTCACTGTTGTATCCAATGCAAAACGCAGGTCCCACTGCTCTTTCCGTGCCTGGATTACAGTGCTTTACCACATGCAGCTTCCCTTTCACAAACACCTGCGTGTCACTGAACACTGCCCATTCCACAGCTCCTCCAAGAAACCCAGCAGGAGCCGCACCCCGGAATGTGTTCCAGCTGCCTGCTACACTTCCTGGTCAGCCTACCTGTATTTAGTGGTCATATTCAACAGCACCTTATTAACCAAGGTTTAAATGCTGGTACAGAATGAAGATATCAGACGGATGGAGTACTTTAACCTTATTTTATTACCATTTGAATGTATTAAGTCTCCCCAAAAGCCTGAAGGATTCACACTCCAGCACATTTACAGAAAGATTTTTTGTTAATGCATGAATATACACAAAAACTGAAAAAAAACAGTAAACAAAGAGGACTTGCACTAGCCAGATTAGACACAGTTTGCTCTGTATCGCAGCCATCTGGTGGATTTCCCCTCCCCCACCACAAGCTCTTTTGTCTCAAATTTATGTCAGACAGATCAGCGCTAAGTATTTACCTCCAATAATTTAACTGCCTCCATAAGTTCACAATACTGGTTTCACTTCAGTTCTTTATTGATCGCATTAGTTTATGGCCACCCCCCAATTCCACTTGAGAAAAGAGGTGGAAACAATGAGACTCATTTGTATTTTTAAGTAAGTGTTAATATACATACAGCTTGCTCAGTTTGCTTAACAACACTGAAGCAGGCAAAGCAATCAGGATTTGCATTTTAACAACCACCCTATAATTGCACTTACCAAGGCAGACGAACTTTAAGGTTTTTGAGAGCGCACATTTACTCAAAACAAAATTTCAGCTACAGCAGCGATTGTTCCAGCTGTTTTGGCATGAGACAGCAAGCTATTTCATAATCCTCAGAATTCAATTCAGCACAGTACTACTTTGTCCTCTTTGGTCCGAATTCTTCCCCAAACACACTGGTACCTCACCACAAACTGGTGGTCCTCACAGCTACTCCCTCTTACCTTCCAGCATAGTCTTTATAGTCACAGACTGCTTTGCAATTTCAACATCAACTTCAAAGATTTCTCCATCTGAACTCTGCAGTTTAATTGAAGGCATCTACAAGAGAAGGACAGTTATTTTAGAACAACATACTGCAGGCACATCATAGAGCAAAGTTTAACTACCTTGGCTGCAAGTTATCTTTCTTATTTATATTGCTTGTTACTTGCAGCGAGTAGTGCACTGTCACTCGTGCATGCTCAACTATTCAGTGTTTGGATCATCAACAGGACTAAATTCATTAATTCAGATGATTATGGAATTAAATAGAAAGAAGTCCAGCACCCAATAAAAAAGGCTCTCCAGTTTAAAAGCATGAGTGCCATAAAACTGATTAGCCTCAGTAACACTTATAGTTTGGCAGTCTAACACTAGAGCTATCTTTCTCTTGATTTTATGTGACACAAGCACACTACTTGTTTGCAAATCCAAACAGCTGGTACTCATCATAATTACTCAGCTGAATGCAGATCCAAAAGCATTTTTCAATTTCTAGTTCCTGGAACAAAATCACAGGATACTTGATGTTGGGAGGGACCTACAAAGACAGGCTGGAGCCCCTAACCTCTATTCAAAGCAGGGTCAACCAAACAGTTATTTGGGATCCAACAGTTCTCCTTCAGAAGGACGTTTAGCTTTCTGGAGAGATTAAAAACAAAAACAGAACTCGCACAATATACCAGTACCAGGAAGGCTTTCAGCACCTTATACTACTTTTATGAAGTAGAAAGTTACATCAGTACCTTCTTAGCATTAAGAAACATTAAAATGAGTATTTTAATACGCTTTTAGGAAAACTGTGATAAGAGCTGCAATGCAAACAGCAGCAGGCTTTGAAGATTATGACATGGCTAAAACAGCAGTCGAGTTTCACTGAAATGCATCTTCCTAGATATTCCACAAATCAAAACCAGAACTAACAGACTTGATTCAGTAACCAGTAGGTTACAGCCTCTGGCTGAAGCTTCACATCGAAGTGTAACCATCACCGCGCTTGACTCAGCTGGCTAGAGGGATGCACGATGTTCATGACTACCTGGCTGCAAAAGATTTATAAGTCTTATCTAGACAGACTAACAGGAGGCATGTTGTAACGCATTTTTTAATCGTCTTTTTTTAACTATTCAAAATACTTCTTAGCTGCAGACAATAGCATTTTTTTTCCAAATTGCTTGTTTAAAAGTCCCTAAAATGTACATTTATAAATATAACCTGCAAGTCACTTTTAAAGACAAGAGTGCAGGTACAAAGAATTACCATTTTCACACATTCATCCCCTGCCACACTGAAGATCTCTACACACAAGTTCCTTAGAGCTGTAACCTGACCCACAGAACCTGAGGGAAGCTGCATCCCCTTCTAGTGACTCCCGTTATCCCCCTTGGAGAGCCTCCTGCAGCTCCTCGCAGCACAGAGCTGGGCAGGACTGCGAGGAGCCCAGGCCCATGGAGAGCAGCCAAGGAGCATTATTAAGCAGCTCACACCAGCTTCAAGTCCTCATTGCTTTAATTTCCATTTGGCAGAGCCAGGGGCTAGTTAATGTTTATACAGTAATGTAACCTTATATGACAGTGCTTCTTCTAATTAAGATATACATTTGAAGGAATGCAGTCATGAGTGTTCCAGATATGTATATTATATACATATATACACACACACATAAATAAAATCAGGGAAAAACACAGAGCACTGAGTTTGCAGCTTGAAGAACACTGTGAAAAGGCAAAGCTTGGGTGCAGATTTCAGCTCCAACATAGCTGTTCCCGCAGGGACACCCTGCGAGCGCTCAGGAGCAAATCTAGCTTGATGCTCTGGCTTTCCTGTGGGGCCGGGATTACATAATGCTACACAACGGAGCCAGCGAGACGGGGATGCTGCCCCGGCAAGTTTAACCTCCCCAAGAGCATTTGCATTAATGCTCTTGTGAGGAACACGAATAAGACAGGAGGAAGCCGGTTTATTGCCTTTTTTTCGTTATTATTGGTAACAGCTAAGATAACACGCGCATTTTGCTGTTTCTCGCCCCACAGCCCAGTCTTCCGCAGGCAAACAGCCCCTTTCGGGGGAGACGCAGCCCAATCCCGGGGACAGGGCGCAGGGTGACTAAGCAGGTGACAAGAACGAGACGCGCCGGGAGCCGCTCAAAAACAC